ACAATTAGCTCAAACTTTATAGCTTTGCACTTTGATTAAGAGTAAAACTGTGATATCACATTCCCTTTGATAATTATCCCAGAGCCCACAGATTATTTTTTAAAGCAAGTTAATCGTGCTTGTTTTGTTGATTTCTTTAAATTCCAACTTAAATTTTATAATTACAAACTTTTGCCACCAAAACTTATATTCAGTAAATTTTAATTGATTGGAACACAACATACATACTTTCCGTCCAAAAAGGATGTTCTGACAGCAGAATTTACTCAACTAAAATAGAAATTATATCTATGGAGCTGTGTAATGTGCTACGGAGCATGTGTAATGTGAAATGGAGTTACGTTTGAAGAATTTCAAAATATTAGTTCTGTAATTAATACTGAATGCTGTTATTGTATATTGTTGCATTTTATCATTTAAACTTCTGATTGCTTCCATCATTAAATGAATGTTACCATTTATCAAATTTGTGAAAAATTTACAAAAAGTGTTTTATACAATTGAATGTTTGAGGCATTGGTTTCTTATTCATTGTTTCTTATTCTTTTTGTTGATATCAGTTTTGTAGTCAGGAGGACACATGATGTAATTGAGTTGTTGAGGAGTGAGTCCTAAAAACTTCTGATGGAATTTTGAATAAAAAAATTTACTTCTTTCAATAATTCATGAAAAAACTCTTCAGAATTAAACATTAATTTTTCAGGAAAAAAACAGATTTTAAATTGTTCAAAAGTTTGCAAACATTTTTATCCAAACACATCAAAGGAATATTTCAGAATCAAAGATATACTCTGGCAGATATTTACAGAACATTTTCTTATATAATGAAACAGGAATAGAACATGTGGCAACAAAAGAAGGAACAAAATTAATGATATTCTAACATTCCACACAAATTGTAACTTAACGTCACTCTTTGAAATTTTCGACCAACTTAATAATAAATATTGTAGGGTTGTGTGGATTTTCAGGAGTGGTATTCCTTCAAGAATGCATTGTGCATTAGCAAAGCATTTCAGAGCGGCAAATGAAGCTGTAACATTGACAACAAATTAGTGAAATGTAATTAAATGCCCAACAATTGAGCCTCAAAGACAAGAATCATTTGAAATCTTGCAGCTTTTTGTAATGTAAAATATAATTGTATGAAGAGTGTTATGATGTTTTAAATTAGAAATGTTTCAAACATTTGAGATAAACTGGACATTATAGTGATAATGAGTGTAGTTTAATATAAACTACATCCATTTTCATCTTTGCTCTCTTAAAATTTAATATTCTAGAAAAGTTTACCTTCTCAGTTGAAGCTAAGTAAACAAAAAGTATATTAATTTAACAATGGAATTGAAATTTAAACAAAAAAAAAGAAAACACTTTACAATATTGCTTTACACATTACTGATACAGAGAGTAGTGTAACAACTTACAAGCATGGATGATGTCCGAGTACCTCCTCTGCTTTAAAGAAAAGAATAACTCCAAATATTTCTGATTGACAGGTACAGGATATGATCTCGCATGCTTAATTTAATGATTAGATTAAGGAAAAATTTTCTTAAATGAAAAGAATGTAAATCAAATATTAACATTCACAAAAAAATATTCAGGGCAAGAAGTCAGTTTTATCTGAAGGGTAATAAACTTGATAAAGCTCGTAAATATGATACACTTACTGGCGTGCTTTCAAAATTATGGATGTTCAGCAGATTAATGTAATTCAATATTTTCTGAAAGGCTTATTTTCTTCTTTGGGTGATAATGAAGAAGACTAGGAAGAATTACAAATTCAGAATATGATCTTCCCAGTGTTGTTACAATGTTTTCTATTTCATATCCAAAATTTGTTCATGAACCATAAAGCATTAATAAATCAAAGTATATACTGCAACTACAGCTGTATGTTAAATAAGAAATTAAACTATGTAGAATGATTTACTCTATGTACACAATGCAAATTAAAATATTAAAAGCAACTTTTTATTAAATTATTCCAGTGTATTATATAATAGTTCAATTTTATGAGTAATAGTATCTTTTAATTATAGACAGTCAAATATGTAATATGTTCATTACATTACATGGTACAAAATTTCACATACTAATGAATCTGCATTAATATTAATGGAAAAAAAAAAAAAAAAGACATCTCAAAGTTGATTTTAACCTGAAATAGGTTCAACACAAATTAAGATAATGTGAGTCTGTTCATTCATGTGTCTTGTACAATTGAATTTAAAGATCTACCTAACTTATACAAAATTGACCTCCATAATTTTATTGTTTTTATTATTTTTTTTGTTACTATTTTAGGTAATGTACCAAACAAAGCAGATGTCCTGTGAAATGTTGAACAATATTGTCCTATAAATATATGTTTTTGATTGTCTATAATAAAAATATCCCATTATATTCAGAGAGATGCTCACAAGAATAACCTTATATAATATTTCAATTTTGAATATTATGATATTCAATGCATAGTTATTATAATTCAACAATTCAACAACAACCTCACTCCATATTACTATTTGTATCTTACAAAATGTTCTACAACAAAAGGTGAATACACAAAGTAAATAAAAAAAAAAAAAATTTATAATTCAATTGATTTGAAGTATATGAAAATTTAAATAGACTGAGAGTATGGTGTATTTATTATCTTACTTTTTGACCTATGTTGTAAACTACATACAAAAGAACTTCAATGCTCTGAAATCATTTAATAAACAACAATAATTAAAATATTGTGGAGTAATACAATAGCTTAAAACAATGAATCTCAGTGATGAATTATAGTGTTTCTGAAATGCTTCCTGGGGAGAAAGATGTGTCTACCTCAACAGTTTTAATTGGAGCCTTTTGCCCATAAAGAGACCTCTCAATTAGATTTCTTCTGCCACGTGTGTGGAGAATATCAGTTTGGAAATTAAGCCTGAAAAGACAGATCAGGTTGTGTCATGTAAGACCCTTCTCTTGGGTTTCTTGTGTCCTTGCACCAAGTCCGTATGATGATAACTGTCTTCCACTTTGAAAACAGATTCAGGATTTGAAGATTTAATACACTGTAGAACATGTATTCCTACATCAGATTCTATAAATTTTGCCTAGTACTTTTCTTTAAAGAGGAGACAGTGTCTACTTTTTCTCCCATCTCGCTACTGAATCTTAAGAGTTATTATATTAAACACAAGAATATTTCTAGAATGTTATTTTAAAAGAAATGTTTGTATAAGGTCTTGCAATTACATAAGTAATTAGTGTTTTTATGCTGGAAATTCACAGTTTTCCGATGCATGATTACATAACATTTTCTTCTTACAAAGAACTTATAAAGAAAAAAGGAATAAAAAATGCTAGAAACAGTTTTGGTGATTGCTAAAAAAAAACAGGAATATAATTATTTCTCCTTTACATCATCAATCCATAAAATAGAAAATGTATGTTCGTATATGACGATTGTAATTGAAGGGAAAAATTTGTTTAAGAAAAGAAATTGAAAGAAATTTATTGTCTTAGAAATAAATGACTTTGTAAGTAAGGCAAATGTCCAACAAGTGAGAAAAATTGATAGCTTGAGAAGACGCTGGATAACGAAAAAAGAGCAGTCACAATTCTGAGATTAAGACTTATTCTATAAAATGTTGCAAATCATTCAAAGATCTTCATTAATTATATTTGATCCAGTATAACTAATAGTAATTCTGTAAGATTGAGTAATTTGAATATATTTAAGCAGTACAAATGAGATTTAAAACTATTTAATATTAATATAATGCTTATTTATAATTCAATAATCATAGCCCAGAGACCCTACTAAAAGAAAATAGCTTATTTTGAAACATGAAATAGCTTATTTTGAAATGAATAGATAGTTGGGGCTATGAAAACCCAATTAAATTATTTGTATTAAAAATGTGATCCTAAATAACATTATTAGATTTGTAATTATATTTAGTAATATGACAAACAATCCGGGCTGACAAGAAGGTTGGGGGGCTGCTAGGGGAACTAGCCCTAGGTCCTGACTTAATTGGGGCCCAATTTTTTTTCATTCAAAATAAATAAATGTTTTTCTCTCTAATCCAAAAGTAACACTGCAAGTTATTTCTGATGCATGAAGAAATGATTACTGCTTATGAATTGGGGGAGGAGGGAATTCTTTTGTTTGATATGAGGGGGCCCCATGGAACAATTGCACCAGGGTCCTGGTTTCCTCTAAGCACCCCTGCAAACAATTAAATAATAAATACATTTTAAAAAATATTTCCACTTTTCATCAAATCAACTTTCCATTAAATTGTCTCCATCTATTATTTATCCATCATTTATTTATCACTTGAAAACAAAAATCAAAGAAACATTTTTAAGTACTTGACATGGTCAGTGAATAATATTTTAACAATTTATATCACATTTTAATATTGGATTTCCCTTATGTAAATTATTCCATTCCTATATCCATCTACTCCATAGTCAAAACTAATGCAGCACTGTGAGTTTGCAATATATATAAATCCACAGAAAATAAACAAGTAAAAATCAAAACAATAATGATTATTGTTCTTGGTTTATACATATAAGTTTATACATATCCACAAATTATATAAGTAAATCTGGAGAATTTTGAACAACCCCTCTCCTCCTGTGACATGAACATGCTCCTCCCCCCTGAAATAATTACATAATGCTTGCAAACAGACACCCCTGCATTTTAAATAAGTAAAAATAAATTATATAACTGTAAACTAATATATATCAATTTTATTTGTGTTATTTGTTAAAATTTATGATAATTACAAAAAGAATCAGTTGGCAATGCTGATTGTACCTAGCAGTAATATTGGTAACTTTTTTTGAATGAAGAAAGGTCACAAGAAAATTTCTGTTAAGAAGCCATGAACATTCCGACTTGAGTGATGTTGAGCCCAAGTCTAAAGTAGCAATTTATGTGGATTCTAGAATATACTATACATCAGTTTAGAATATTTTTCATGTAACGTAACAGATTTAATCAAAGAATTCCAGTGATGGAAAAATATTTCCATTTATTGTAACAATTTGTATATCACTTTTCTATATATTTTTATTTTTAATTTAATTTTTTTAAATTTTATGTATTATTGTAGAACTGAATAAAAGGAACTATTAAGCAAATATTAACAAATTTTTAAAATATACATCAGTGTTATGTAACACTAAACAATGACATCCTCATCACTATGTAAGGCAGCAAAACACTGCATCAAACTCTGTCTCCGCTGTCTTTAGTGTTATTTAATTTTTGGACCCTTAATATTATGCAAGTGTATAAGAATAAAATATACCATCATTTAATAAATTTCATTTTACAAGCTAAGAAAATTTTTGAAGAAAACAATACAATATTACATAGTTTGGAAAGGATTGTTGCAAAAAGTTAGTAATAAAAATTACGTTTACCAGAGAAATTAATTCTAATGATTTCATATCACAGTAATAGTAAAGCTGACAATATCACATGTGATTATTAATCTAGCCCAGATCTTTAGAGTACCATTCAATTTTGAGTACTGAACAATTTCAAAATCAAAAATGAAATTGATGTTTTTGCTAATAAGCCCAGAGAATTATGTTAGTAACCTGGAGATACACTGAACGAATGTTGATAATTGTTTATTATTTTGTATTAAGTGTTTTACAGCAGCATTCTACATGCAATACTCTTATCACAATTGAATAAAATATCACTTATTAAATTAAATATCACTTATCACAATTTATTATTAATAATAAATTATTTTAACCCAAATTTTATTTTCACATGTGCAAGTTAATCAATTTTGTAACTACTTCTGTGTAATTTAAAAGTACATAATACATTTCCATTGACTATCACATTTTCCTCAATTTAATGAATTTAATTCAAATGTTTTTAATAGGTATTACTTTAGTTATTATGCAACATACATTTTCCTATTTCCCAACTTCTCTGAACAAAAATAAACATGAGTTATTTTGAAACACATTTCTGCACATTTTAATTAAATTTAATACTTAACAAAATTTTTATTAAATGTACATATATTATATATAAATGTACATCTTTTGAAAGACATATATTTTATAAACACCACATCATATTGAGATGCAAGCAGTCCTAATTTACTTTCACATAAAACATATTGATGAAAGTACCATAAAATACAAAAATACCCACATGCAAACTAAGCACATGCTCAAACAGCAAGTTACTACTATATCAGACAGTAAATTGTTTTCTCCATTACCTTATTATTTTTTTTATTACTGTACTACGTGCTGTACAATACAGGGCTTACAATGTAAACCTACCATATACTATGTACAACTATTGGCACAAAAATTACATATATAATATTACATTACTTATTTGCAGTAATTTCAATTCCTGATTTCTGCAATAAACAGAAACTGTCCATTTCTTTCTTCATGGCTTTTAAGTTTCTCTATAGGCATTGGCATTGAACATCATGAAGCCACATACTCATCCACAAAGGCAGGTGACTTGGCACACATTATGGATGTTTCAACATAGTTTCTTCTGGGTATAAATATTTAGCTGGGCATAAATTGCCACTGATCATCATGGTCATGGGCTCGACCACCACCTGGTGAATATCCTGTGGAAAAGCATGCCAACTTTGTAAGTTTGATTTTATTTTGTGAAATGTAGTTCTAGGTAAGGAGATTAAATGAGCGAATTGTTAAAAACAGCATTAAAATACATTATAATGAAAAAATAATTTAGTTTGTTTCGGGACAAGTTATGCTTTTCCTTCCTCTGTGAAAATGATAATTTTACGTTCAGTTACCCTTACTTCGTAAGAATTGAAAGTATTGTAATCGTGAGCTGGAAAAATGCGAAATGTAAACAGAAAAACCGAAGCAGGACCTTGATAACGATAAAGGGGACATATATATATA